GGATCCTTGATCCTCATGACCCGGCCGCGCATTGTAGCCTTGGGACGATGTGCAATTCCAACGCCTATTCCCGCGACAATACGCTCGGTCGCTTCCGACAAGTCTTTGATATATGGCAGCGTATGTCAAATCGTGTGGGGTGGTCCTGTTTGGGTCCTCGGAATGCGGGCACGTAGGCATTGGCTTATGAAGGCTTTAGGATAGCAATTCTGCATAAACTGGTCGCGCAGTTTAGCATAGGCATGTACTTCTATCAGCATCATCCTAGTCCTCATAGTTCAATCGTAGCAGAAACGGGCACAGCCTGATGCATAGAGTTGACACGGTGGAAACCAAGACAAGTCCTGATGTGCTCAGGCTCTCCAGTCTCACCTTCTAGACCCATGATGATGTAAAAGAGTGCATTTGGCGCTAATCACGTCTTCTGTCACTTTAAAGCTACCCTCTGTGGATAGTCATCATCACTGCACGAACCTCTTGGTGCATTTGGTGGACTTCGTCGAAGTCGATAGTCGAAAAATCATCATCATCAGTACCTGTATATGTATATTTGAAGGATTATAATCAAGGAATGCCCTTGAAGACCCTATCAATCTAAAGTAAACTATATCATTCTTACAATGAATATGAAGTTTTAGAGAGACGTGGTATCATGACACACATTCTAATGAGTTGTCGCGGAACAATAATTAGCAGTATGCATACAGTCTAGAGCCAGGAAAATGGTTGACAATGCTGGCAATAGGAAATACTGTTGTGTTAGTAACCTTTTGTCAATAAAAATGACATCAAGTCCTTTTTAAAAATAAGCAGTGGTGTAAGCGGAAACCGTCCTGTTTGGTAGCGAGTTCCCAGATCATACCACTCCTTAGCAGAAGAAAAACTTTCTGAGGTCCAGTCCAGTGCCTTCGTTTGTGACCTCGTATGTGACAGTTGTATGACAGCGAAGCATTATCCCTGCCATAAAAGAAGTTACCTGCAACGATGAGTGTTTGAAGAACTCACACGCTTGTATCAGCTAGACGGTATTCTCTCACACGGCTTCATTCCTCCCCGTTACCCAATCCGCAGTGGT